AAGCTGTGAGCAAACCTATAGGGCATTTTTTTTTTCTCTTAATTGGTTACTGATGGAAGAGGGCCCAGCCCATTGTGGGTGGTGCTACTCCTGGGCTGGTGGTTCTGAGTTTTGTAAGAAAGCAGTCTGAGCAAGCCATAATGGGCAAACCAATAAAACAGTACCCTTCTATGGCCTCTGCATCAGTTTCTGCCTCCAGGCTCTGGCCCTGATTGAGTTCCTGTTCTGACTTTGATGAACAGTGATATGGAAGTGTAAGCCAAATAAAAATAAACACTTTCCTTCTCAACTTGCTTTTGGTTATGGTGTTGTATCATAGTAATAGTAACCCCAACTAAGACAGTACATTAGAATTTAATATAGTCCTGTATTTCAAGATCTTGAAAATGAAAAAGGTTAGTCCTTAAAAAAAATTTAGTCCTGTACAATCAAAATCTTGAAACAAATTTCATTTTTCATCATTCTCCATGATACAGAGAGTTTGCAGGAGTCTGAATGGTGGCAAATTTCCTTTTTCATTTCCATACAAGCTTTATTGCTTTTTAATATGAGACAAAAATCTTTTCATCTTCTAGTCCATCATAATACAGTATCTAAGGAGCAGACAGTTCTGTTTAATGTGTACACATACAGATCCCTAGGTTTTTTTACTTTATATGCTTATTTCTTCATATCAAATGATAACCATTTTTTTAAAAGATCAAACACTCAATAAAAAAAATTCTTTACCAAAAAATATAAGGGAAAGATCTTTCAAGGTACCAAAAAATAAAGAAATATTCAGAAACCATTCCAGTTAAAAGAAGTCTAAATAGAAAAGACAACTAAACATAGCATAAAATTCAAATGGTATCATAGAACAGAAAAAGGTAAAGTAAAGCCTTTACTTCTCAATAACCTATCATATGGCTGTAAGCATACCTTCTTGTTATGGTAACAGGAGAAACTTGGCACAAGAACAAACAGGAACTCTACACTATCTTTGCCATTTATCTATAAATCAAAATTGTTCTTAAAAAAATAAAAGAAATACACTTGAGATTGAAAGACAATCTCAGAGAAGATGGGTTAATAATCCAGTATGATATTTCTTTTAACATAAGGCAAATCAAACAATACTATTCTCAAAATTTGTAATCAGTCTAAGCACAGTAAACATCATTAACCCAGTTATACAAAATTAAGATATCTATTATACACACATCAGCTACAGCTCAGCAACTGCAAGAAAGCTAGCAAAATGAAGACACTTAAATGTAGGATCCTTTTGGAGAGGAGATCTTTTCAAGGGCCAAAGATGAATGCTATGTATGTATTCAGTACTTGTTCTCACTTTCTGTTAACCATAAATCAGACTAAAAGAAACAGAAGGGAGAGAGAGAGAAAAGAAAGGCTAGCATGCAGTGCAGCAAAAACTAAAAAACTAAAGACTTCAAACTAACAGAAACTCAGAACTAGCATAAATATAAAATCAACAACTGTATGACTATGTCACTATAAAAACCACAGGAAGCTAAGAAAGGTGGCACACATCTGCAAGTCTGAGGCAGGAGAACTGACAAGTTCCAGACTGGTCTGGGCTATAGAGCAAAACGCTGTCTCAAACAAAAAGATAAGAAACTAAAAGATATTAAATAAGATTAAACAATATAACAAGTATAATTCTCAAAGAGTAGAATAAAATTATAACATAATTTAGAACTTTTTAAATGTAAGAAAAAAAACTACAAAACAGTAATTATATGCTAAGAATAAGATATCCTAGAATAGCTGGGCAGTGGTGGCACACGCCTTTAATCCCAGCACTTAGGAGGCAGAGGCAGGCAGATTTCTGAGTTCGAGGCCAGCCTGGTCTACAGAATGAGTTCCAGGACAGCCAGGGCTACACAGAGAAACCTTGTCTTGAAAAACAAACAAACAAGATATCCTAGAATATACCCAAAAGAAATACTATGTTTTATTTAAAGCTCTAAATTTTTTGAAGGGGATGGGACTGGGAAAATACAGTTCAGTAGTAAAATGTGTACTGCTCAAGTAGTAGTGCCTGAGTTCAGTCCCCAGAACCCACACAATGGGAACATGGGCGTGGAGCTTCAGTGCTGGAAAGGCAGAGACAGGCTCTCTGGAGCTTGTTTAGCTATCAAACTAGCACACTGGGAGAAGCTGAGAGACTGCCTCAGAGTCCAAGGTAAAAACACCTGCATGAGTGTCTTCTGGCCTCCACATGCATGTGCATACACATGCATGCACAGCTGCACACAAAACAGCATCCCCCTACACATACACAGTTATTAATTTTTTAAGGTTAAAATATGATACACTGACCTCTTTATTCACTAAGGTATCTGCCGATTAAGTATTCATTTTTAATGTCTTTGTTAATTTGAGGTGTAAGAATTTGTACATGTATGTCCTGGTGAATGTGTGGCAGTCAGAGTACAACCTGCAGGAGTCAGCTCTCTCTTTCCAACATGTGGATCCTAGGGATGGAACCTAGGTCATCATGCTTGGCACTGAACCTAGGTCATCATGCTTGGCACCAAGTGCTTTACCCACTGACTCTGCTTGCTTGCTCCTTCAATGTATGTTCTTAAATGACTGATAATATAGCTAAATATGAATTCTCCCTAAGACTACCCAAAAGCAGTACAAGTATCCAAAGCAAATGAAAATAATAACAGCTTTTCTATAATTATGATTTGGTGTCACAAGAAAAATTTTATTTGGTTCTTGAAAGTTTCTAAGTAACACTTAAATTCTCAAAATTACTTTAACTAAGTGATAAAATACCTAAGAAAGCTTTTTAAAGTAACAACCACAGCTTCCTGTAAAGGACCACATTAAAAAACATATTTGCCAGCAATATTATTTATTCAAAAGATGTCTTACACACTATTAAATGATTGCTACAGTCAAGCTAATTAGCCATATCCATCATACCAGTTTTTCTGGATGTGGAGAAAACACATAAAGTCCAGTCGTTCTAAACTTCAAGTAAACAATACAGCATTGCTAACTATAATCACTACATTATACATTATACATTAACTGTCTAGGCATTATACTCACCTATATAACTAAAACACAGTATCTTTTGGCCAATATCTCCCTACTGCTCTCGTCACCTCGATATCTTGGGAAACAATTTTACATTCTGCTTCTATGAATTCAGTATTCTCTAAGAAGTAGTACTATATACACAAAATTGCTTGGGACTGGAGAAATGGCTCAGGGGTTAAGAGCACTGTCTGCTCTTACAGGGGTCCTGAGTTCAATTCCCAGTATGAGTTCATATGATGGCTCACAACCATCTGTAGTGGGATCTGATGCCCTCTTCTGGCATGCAGGTGTACATGTAGGTAGAACAGTCATATACATAAAATAAATCTTTTTAAAAATGCTTCACATATAACAAAACTTTTTCTATGATTGCTTAACAGATGTATAAACTATACAGATTATGAAATGGGAATTTCACTAGAAACACATATATGTAGTTTACTTTAATGGTATATGAACTTTTACCAAAAGAGCAATCAAGGAAAGGAAAGGGAAAGGAAAGAGAAGGGGAAGGAGAAAGGGAAGGAGGAAGGGGAAGGGGAAGGGGAAGGGGAAGGGGAAGGGGAAAGGGGAAAGGGGAAGGGGAAAAGGAAAGGAAAAGGGAAAGAGAAAGGGGAAAGGGAAGG